GTGGGCTCCTATGCTATTAGCCTTGTGCTGTGGTGTTGCCAACTGATTTCCCCAATTCTCTTTTCTCAGTGGGCTAGAACGCAGCTGGTTAAATAGGCCGTGACTCACATAAGCTCCTGTGTCTTTTTTATTGACTACTTTATGGAAATGTATCACACTCCAAAGGGTCCCCATTGTTGTTGCTGTGCATAGCTGACTGAAGAGTTATGCTTAGTGCTGAGAGATGGAATCCCACCCCGTCCTTTTTATTGTGGGGTCGGGTATGGATGGGATGCACGGGTTTAAAGGAATCTGGGTGAAGAGAGAAGGATGTCTGAGAATTTCTTTTATCTTCATCTGCCGTGGAAGTTGGGTGGTCATCATTTCTAGATAACATACTTTTCTGCTGATCTTATCTTTATGGTCCCACATCCTTCAGCTAAGTGCATCTTTTCTCTGTATGGGTTATTCTGAGAGATTTAGTTAAGTGTAGTGGTAGAGAGAGATTATGACACTCATGCAATTCTGTTTTGTTTTGTGCTGATACAATGTGTGATACACCCTTAGGTTTCTCCAAGAGGGACATTTTATTCTCAATAAATTGAAATAATTTCTAGTTTTTCATTATGGTGGTGATATATTTTTTACAAATAATAGGCAAAAAGACTTTCTTTTTAATTGTATACCTCAATATAAATGTTCTTGCCTTAAAAATACTAACTTATACAATTGTTTGTGGCTTCTTCCTATTTTTAACATCATCTTGAAAACACTTTTAAGCTTTCTACTATGAGTTAACTAGCTCTATGTAGATCTGTTTGTTTGCTAGTAGGTATGAATTCAGGCATTCCAGACTCCTCTTGCCTCACCTCCCCTCCACCCCTACACACACACACACACACACACACAAAGTGTGGCTAATGTCATAAATCCTCAGGATCACCAGTTCTTGATCAGTAGGACTGTAAACTGGCATTAAAAGAAGAGATAGTGTAAGAGTCACAATGGCTTCCCATCTTGGTTGTGTGGGTTTATCTGATAGATCAAGGAGCTAATGAGATTGGGCTCAGAGTCAACTCTACTTGGAAAACAACCCTTACTGAACTCACCACAGTGCTTGTACATCGACAACAGTCATTAGAATACAGACTGATTTTATTTGCTTGCCTAATTTATTTTTCATAGCAATTCCTAACTTCGCCTATAATCCCAGTTTTTTCCCCTCAGCATATAAGGGAAACCAGGCAAGAGAGTTCATGTATACAAATTCCCTCTAACGAGTAAAAAAAGCAACATAATGTATCTTACTGACTACATACAAAACATACCATATAAAAACAATATTTCCAGCAATATTACTCTTCAGAAGCTTGTTGGTAAATGACCATCAGGGAGAGAAGGTGGGGATGGTGCTATCTGTCCCTCCTGGCCTAGAATTAGTGAGTTGGAGATCAAACATCCCTGCTGCATTATTTTTTTCTTTGTTTTCTTGGTGGTGGCATTCTTGGGTTTCAGTTGGTGGGGAGAGAAAAGCCTCACGCTGATAATGTACTGAAAGTAAATGAAATTAAATAAGCGAAGCAGTGCTCATCACTACTTCCTCCCCCTGGGTAATTCAATTCAAGCTCTCTCTCTGCTGGCAACTCACAGGGGCTGTCTCTGTCACCCCGCTGGGGCCTGGAGTCTTAACATCTAAATAAAAGTTTCACTCAAGCATTTTTTATGCTCCTGCCAGCAGGATCAGTGAGCTGGTGTGGGCACATTAATGTAATATTCATACTCACAGACTCTCCCCACACACGAGGCAATGTCTTCCCATTTTCATAATTATAGACGTTCCATAAAATGGCATTTAGATTTGCATTAAAAAAAGGAGGTTTGAATTGTAATAGAACGTTTAACATGTCTTTTATGATTCAGACTCTTGGTGTCCTTAACAAGAAGCTGTGTGTCTAAGTTTAACAAGACCTTAAAAAAGAAAAGGGTGAAGAAAAAAAAAATCTTGTGGGGGAAAAAGAGATGGAAACTCCAAGCTTAGGGGATTCTGTTTTTCTTATCCCCCAAGTCTTTCACTAGGCCTCCAGGAGCGATATTTTGACAGCACTTTAAAGAAAGATGGGCTTTCCTTCAAAGAGCCTTCTCTGCCATACCTGGACCTCACCTCATCTTATCTCATGCCCCACCCCCAAAAGCTGCTACCATTTCTTGGAGGTATTTTCAGAGGGACATAGAATTTTCAGAGGAATGGGAGAAATGAAAGAAGCCTGGAAAAATGAACTTTCCTTTGCTGCAGTTAGTCTCAGGCATGCACTCTGAGACCCATCTGGGAGGATTTATGGCAGTCACAGTTTGCTAACTATAAAATACACAAATGAAAATAGTGCATGAACGAGGAAGTTGACAATAGGATCAATTGGATAAAGAACCAGGCATGTACACACACTAAAAAAGAAAAAGATCCATATTTTTAAAACTGCCTGAAACAGTTTAGAAGCATAAAGGTAATCTTAAATTGTCTTAAAATGTCTTTTTATTTTTTGTTTTTTACGAAAAGTAAGCAAATCACTGAGCAAAGTACCACCTCACAGCCACCACTCAATAAATGTAAGTGTGGGAGATGTTCAAAAAACAATTGTCTGATTTTTTTTTTAAAAAGTGTTTTCACCCAAAAGTCTCAGGATATTATGTATGGCTCAATTGACTAACCTGTGATTGTGCCTTACTTTGGATTGTTTTTGTTTTTCGGCAGTACTGGAATTTTGAACTTGGGGCCTCATTTGCAAGCCAGGTGGTCTACCACTTGAGCCACTCTGCCAGTCCTTTTTTGGGGGGATGGGTCTCTCAAACTACTTGCCTAGGCTGGCTTTGAACCGAGGACCTTTTGATCTGCTTCCTGGGTACTAGGACCCCACTCCTTACTTTGTTTTGTATTTGGTTTGCTTTATAAAATTTTTAAGTAAAACCACAAGACATTTGGTTTGGGAACCAAAAAAATAAGTAACTATTAAGATTCTGCTAGCCTACTCTCCGAATTAAGAAATGAAGAGTTGGTTAGGGATATGACTCAGTGGCGGAGCACATGCTTACCATGCAAGAGACCCTAGGTTTGATTTCTGACACCACAAAAAAATAAAAATTAAAAATAAATGTACAGTTGTGTTTTTAAAGAGTTTTGGGGAGAGCCGGATATGGTGGCTCACGTCTGTAATCATCAACACTCAGGAGACAAAAGCAGGAAGATCATGAGTTCAAGGACAACCTGGGCTACATAGCAAGACCCTGTCTCAAAAAAACAGAAATAGCCAGGCACTGGTGACTCATGCCTATAATCCTAGCTACTCAAGAGGCAGAGATCAGTTCAAGGCCAGCCCAGGCAAATACTTCACAAAACTATCTCGAAAATACCCAATACAAAAAAAAAAAAAGTGCTGGTACAAGTGGTAGAGCGCCTACCTAGCAAGCATGAGGCCCTGAGCTCAAACTCTGGTACAGCCCCACCCAAAAAAAGAAAGAAGAAAAAAATTAAGTAATTAAAAATAGAGTTGTTTGGAGGGAAGGGGTGTTCTTGCTTCACTTTATTTTTATTTGCCTTAGTCCTTTGCCCCTCCTTTCTGTAAAGTAAGTATAAATCCCAATGGAGGAAAATGCATTAGGAACTTGACTTTTCAATAAATTTGTACCTAAGGAGGCTATTAGAAGTCAAGAATGTCAGCAGCATACAATTAAAGGTTGATGTCATTTCCAGGGTCTTCTCTTTTGTTAAAGCTTCTTTGTTTCTTAGACTCTTTTCCATACTTTAAAGAAACCAAGATCTTGCAGTTATGGCAAAATTCTCATAGCCCTTCTTTGTGCGAAGTCAATAAAATTTATGTTCACAAAGGTGGCTTTCTGAAGAAGAAAGAAAGAAAGAGAAAGAAAGGAAAGAGAGAGGGAGAGAGGGAGGGAGGGAAGGAAGGAAGGAAAGCAGGCAAGCCAGAGGAAAGGAAAAGAGAAACGTCTGGGAGATCTGCAAGTGTGGCCCATGCAATAGAGCACTTGCTTTGCAAATGCAAAGCCCTGAGTTCAAACCCCAGTCCCACCAAAAAAAAAAAAGAAGAAGAAGAAAAAGAGGCAGGTGCCAGTGGCTCATGCCTGTAATTCTAGCTACTCCAGAGGCAAAGATCAGGAGGATCAAGTTCAAAGCCAGCCTGGGCAAATAGTTCAAGAGACCCTATCTGGAAAATACCCGTCACAAAAAAGGGCTGGTGGAGTGGCTCAAGGTATAGGCCCTGAGTTCAAACCCCAGTACTGCAAAAAAAAAAAAAGAAAGAAAGAAAAGTCTGGGAGAAGAAAGGGGAGGGGAGGAGACATGAAGGGAAGAGAAAAGAAAAGGCCATGTCCCTGCAATCCTAGCAGAGATCAGGAGGATCATGGTTCTAAGACAGCCTAGGCAAAAAGTAAGGCCCTAATCTCAAAAATACCCAACACAAGAAAAGGGCTGGTGAAGTGGCATAAGTGGTTAAGTGCCTGCCTAGCAAGCATGAGCTCTTGAGTTCAAACCTCAGCACCACCACAAAAAAAAAAAAAAAGAAAGAAAGAAAGAAAAAGGTAGGTGTACATTTCTTGTCCCCTCTGAGGTGCCTGAATGCATAGTAGAGTCCATTACTCATTGATGCTTGTCTATGCTGGTAGCTGTTCTTGTGACTTTTGATTATCTCAGTGTGGATTAACCAATTTGGAGCTTATATCCACTACAAATTCTTAATTCCCTGGAGTCCTTTTCCTGACAATCAGTACATATTTAGGCTACCTCCCCTTGCCATAAGTTAATGTATGTTGAGATCATTTTAAGCAATTTTAGCATTAGATATAATTAGGAAGAAAATTAACTTTTTTCTCCAGTCATACAGAAATTGTCTTATTTTGTGCTGTGTTTAAGCAATTGCCCTTCTGTACTCCATCATTAATGTGAATTATCTAAAGTAGCCTAAGTGAAAATTTTGTCAGGTTTCAACAAAGTATTTTGTTGTTGTTCCTTTTAGGAATAGAAGACATCATAAGAGGAGCTCAAGAGCTTGATAACATCATCAAGCAAGGATACCTGGAGAAGAAAAGCAAAGGTATTGATCAGACCCACAGATAGCACATTCAAGGAAAAAGAGAGCTAAACATATTGGGTGACTTCTCCATGCCCCATACTATACTAAGCAGATGTAAGGCAAAAGCTAGGCAAGGAAAGAAAAGAAGTCTGATGTTAATGTGTGTAGACTGAAGAGAGGACCCATATCTTCAGTTGCCGTTGAGCTTTGTTGGGATGGAGACTGCTTCTGCCTTCCTCACCTCTGAATCCCCAGTGCCTGCTACAAAACAGGTGCTAAATAACAGTTGTTGAATGAATGAATGATATTCTTGTCCTCATCTCCCAGTGTAAAGTCATTTTTGCCAGTAATATAATTTCTATGTCAGAGGTGAATACTTTCAAATTTCAGACAGGCCCAACTCTTGACCTTTATTTAGGTCATTCCATTAAAACAGGTACTACTAGTGCTGAGGCCCCAGGTTCAGGCTTGATGAGCAAATTGGGCCTTCCTCGTGGCCTGAAGTGTCATTCTGGCTTATAACACATAAAGATATCATGAAGAATTCAAAAAGTACAAGATGAGCTTAGAACCCGAAAGTTATAAAGGAAGCTAAAGAAAAAGAGAGCTGTGAGGGCACAGAGCAGGCAACCCTGTTTAGAACCTGAACCTTTAACAGAGCTCGTCCTCTGGTCTCTGAGTCAATATGGGATAACCTGTGGGAGTGAAAGGGAGGTTTTTACAGTCCATTAACCCAGGAAATAAAACAATAACATACGGACAGTGTGTTGTTGGATTTTACGGACTCTTCAGTGATTGTAGTTACCTGAATTTATGTCTTCTACTGCTGTTCTGTGTAGATCATAGCTTCTTTGGGTCAGAGTGGCAGAAGCGATGGTGTGTTGTCAGCAGAGGCCTCTTCTACTACTATGCTAATGAGAAAAGTAAGTGTTCTTCATTTGCACAGCAGCATCTCACTCCTGGATGCAAGCACTTCGTAAATTCTCAAGCACTTAGGTCTCTAGATGGCAGTCCTTAACTAACACCCACAAAGGGACATGCTTAGGAAAGAAACAGACTTGGATAAATAATACCTTGCCTACCCCACAAGCACAGAGGCCAATTTAGAAAGCATTTCACCTCTGAACACAAAGTGTGCTCAGTATGTCAAATGGTTATCTTTTATTATGATTAATAAAACATTATCAAAGTTGAATGTTTTGGCATTCTTTAAAGAAAAAAAAAAAAATAGGGTAGCATAAGGGCTCTACCCCATGATGAAGAAGTCAAAGTTTTGCCTCTTCTCGGTGGTTTTTCCTATAAGGTGTATCTCCAGTGTCTCTCCAAGATTTTACTTTAGGAAGCATGCTTTCTGCTTCCTCCCTCTAGCCGCCATCTTGGAATTCTCTACCCCATGATATACGGTCCCTTTCTACAATGTTGGAGGTGAGGCTGGGCCTTGTGTCTGCACCTGCATATTCTTACAACTTCTCAGAGCCCTGTGGACAATGACTACGAGACAAACCATACAGGAAACAGTCCTCTAGATTTTTCAATCTAGATGGAAGTCCTATATGTATAAGAAAATTTTGTTTCATTCTCACTGTTTATAAATGAATAAAAATCTTTAAAAAAAAAAACTTCAAGCTGGGGCCTATAATCCTAGCTGCTCAGGAGGCTGCGATCAGGATTTCATTTCAAAGCCAGGCCGAGGCAAATAGTTCACAAGACCCTATCTCAAAAAAAAAAAATCAGTATAAAACATGGCAGAGTGACTCAAGTGGTAGAGTGCCTGCCCAAGAAGCCTAGCAAGCATGAGGCCCTAAGTTCAAGCCCTAGTACCAAAAAAAAAAAAAAAAAAAAAACTGAGATAGGAAGATCATGAGTTCCAGGCTAACCTGGCCTACATAGTAAGGCCCTGTCTCAGAAAAACCAAAGTCTAGACATAAAGCTCATTGGTAGAGCACTTGCCTAGCATGCAGTAGACCTTGGATTCAACTACCAGCACCACTAATAATAATAATTTTGAGAAAGATTTAAACAGCTTAATAATGGCCCAGAAAATAGAACCTTAGAGTCAGACTCTCTAAGAGCATACTCTAAACTTTGGGCATGACTACTGGGAAGTAGTCCAGTGGACATCCCTAGAGTGTTGAGGTCCAAATGGCTGCTGTGCCCAAGAGACATGCTTCAGCCCATGGCCGCAGTAACAGCAGTGAAGTGTTAACTCAGACCAGAGGCAGTTTCGTAATAAGCGGCCTCTTGCTTAGTCAAGCGTAACACTCACGAGCTAGCCCTAGAAGACCTCTCTTCTATGTTTAACACGGTGCTTGGCTCATGAGAAGGAAGAAGGGAAATAAGCACAGTTGGAGGTAGCTACAAATAAATACGAGCTAAAAATTATTATTTGGATAAATATGGACTTCTGAGTAGGGGATTCCATTCTGCAGAGTTGGACAGCCAGGAGAGTACTTCTGGTAAGCAAGAGGGAGGACATAAATAAAGTATTCATTCTTGCACAGGCTTCCTTCTGCTCTCCCACCTTCATTCAGAGGCCAGGGATAAAGCCACAGAGTAGACTTTTCTTTTTTCTCCCATTTTCCAGTCATTCCCTCTCCGTATGCCTGGACACCCAGTCTAGGGAATAATCAATGCCTGCCTAGTTGACTTTGGACTTCCTGCACCTTTGGTATTAAGGTTAGCAGAAAGAGCTGCAGCTTTGCTAAATGACATGGAATCCTAAAGATTTGCCTCTGGCTTTGTGGTAGGTACTTCACTCTGCCTCTCTGCTTGCAGGTGTCACTGACCTTCTAGGGGTAAAGTGTGAAGCCTTACTTGGAACTGTTAACAGCATGCTTTGAAAACTGAAAACTGTGCTTCCCACCTCCAGCCCACTCTCAAATCCAAAAACCAATCCTCTGAATTCTAGGCATACAAGCAGCAAGGTGTAATTTCCTTTAAACTAACATGGCATTTGGGTCATTGTAAAAAAAAATGCTTGTCATTTCCCTTGCATTTAAATAAATGGTTGACACATCTGGATGTAAAGCCAGGTTTCACGTCTGTTCATTCAGAATCCTTTATACTCCAGGTTGGGGTGGAGGTAGAGCAAGAGGCTTAGAGACTTTTATTGACCATTTTGCTGTCAGGGTGAAATAAAATCTGGTGACCAAAGAAACAACAAAACATTTTAGTGGCCAGTTAGAGCAAAGAGAGATACTTTAACAAAAAAGATTCTGGTGTCAAAAAGCACTGTTACATGGCTCCCTTCTCGCCAGTTACTTCTTATTGTGCCCAAGACGTTTTCTTAGTAAGTACGCTGCTTATGTGTTTCTTTTTAGCTCAAACAGGTGAGGACAGAATCTTTTCTCTTCTTTTCTTGTCTTTATGTCATTCCACTGCCCTCCTTATCATCATTCTCATCAAAAAGTATCTATTGAGCTCAGTAGTAGAACTCCTGCCTAGTTCATGAGGCCATGGGTTTGAGCCCCACAACCACAAAAACAACCAAAGGAACACAAAAAGTATCTATTAAGCAATTTATTCCACATGATATATGGCACCAAGACACTGTGGTTACTGTCATCTATGTGTTCTGCTTGAACTCTATACAACATAAACGCAAAATCCTTTTTTGGGGGGTGGGGGATGCACGGGGAGTGCTGACGTTTGAATTCAGGGTTTTGTGCTGGCTAGACAAGAACTCTACTACTTGATCATGTCCCTGGCCCTTTTTGCTCCGGTTTATTTTTCTCTTTTTTTTTTTTGCCCCAGGCTGGTTTCAAACAGCAATCCTCCTACTTTTGCCTCCTTCACTGCTGGAATTAGAGGCATGCACCACCATATCTGTCCTTGGACACAAAATCTTTCAGAGCCACCTCCTCATTTCCTGTTTGTAATACTTTATTTTTTAGGAAAGGAGTGGCAGCTAAAGTAGTGTTTCCTTTCCTTGATTTAGGGTACTTTGCTTTTATCTCCTTCCTTATTATGTCATGATAGGAAGAGCACTGTGCTTCTTCTGCTTGACCTCTCAGAAGGAGGATGAAATACTGAGTTTTAATTATTCTTCTTCTGGCATTAATTCTCACCTGACCAGCGGGGAAGGGGGAGAGCAGCTTAACCCAAATGCATATAGGGTATGGGAGGAGACTCCAGGACCTTATAATGCCCCCTGTGCTGCTGTCCCTCCCCTCGAATATCAGCTCTGCTGGCCCCGATAATGTTTCAGCTCTGTAATAGCCTTCAAGAGCCTCACATTTACAGCCACTCTCCCTGCTGTAATAATTCCTTCTTTCTGTTATTATAGATCTCTTAACATTCTAATAAATTCTCTGTCTCTGATGTACTCTTTTGGTAAAATAACCTTTCATGTTGCATTTCCCTAGCTCGGCAGTGATATCTGCCTGGCTGTCGCAGTAACCTCTCCCCAAGCTTTCCTAATAACCTTTCCTTGACTATTGTGGTTCCTCAGGGATGTAACAGCTGTTTCTGTGCTTTTATTTTACATACCAGAGAAGATGCCTTCCCTTGGCAGTTGCATCTCTCTAGGGATACAAGGAGTTTTCCTGTCTTCCAGGCAAGCAGCCCAAAGGGACCTTCCTCATTAAGGGCTACAGTGTCCGGATGGCCCCCCATCTGCGAAGAGACTCCAAGAAAGAATCCTGCTTTGAACTGACCTCCCCGGATAGGCGCAGCTATGAGGTAGGACGATCATCATTAGTGTCGCAGTTTCCTTCCCTGTTGTATGGGAGCCATAGTTGTTATGCTGGGTTCCATTCTCTTTGTTACCTGTTCATTTCTCATCAGCTAAGACCCTCTTTCTTGCCTGTTCTTTGCTATGTCATGCGCTCCTTTCTCCTCTGTTGACAAGTTCATCCTAGATACTGCCTTTGCTTGGTTTCCATTTCTTCATCCCTCCCCTGCCCAGTCTCATCCATAGGTGAGAGTCTTGCTTAGTGTAGCACACAATCCAGCTCCTTACTCACAGTCTCTAACTTCATGGCTGTAATTCCTGTTGTCTTTATTTCTCAATTGATTATCTTTACTTCTTTCCATGAAATTCAGAAAAAGGAAAGTATAGCTGTAGAGTGAACAATAATTTGTTTTCCCATGTTCATCTTGCTATCTAAAATAATGTGATACGCAGTGCGCTGCATATCTCTGGAAGGATTTCTAAGATATTGGGAACAATTGTGACTGAGTAGTAACAATGATAACTGAGGGACTCCAGGTCCTTTTCAGGACAAGAAAGACTTATTCTTCACTATATTCATTTTTATATACTTTGAATCTTTCCTTCAGGCATTTACTATCCATTTTAAAAATAATTGGAATAATTTAAAAAATTATGACTATAAGAATATAAGACTTTCACTAAAAATATTTTTCTACATGTTTGCATGTATTATTTCCTACTTGTCAATTTTTATTTTATCACAGTAGTAAAACTTTAGCTAAATTATGAAAAAGAAAAAACATGCCAAGATTAAAGAATGATTAAGTAACCCTTTGTTTGACCTTTCAATTTTTTCTCAGCATTCAACTTTTTATATTTCTACAGGACCTTAGCCCTTAATTTGATAAAATGCCCTAGGTCTTCATTATCCAATATCCACACTTTAAAAAAAAAAATTAAAGCTAAAATTTTTCTAAAGAATCCTTTTTTTTTCTTTTATTCATATGTGCATACAATGTTTGGGTCATTTCTCCCCCTTCCCCCCGCCCCCTTAGAGAATCCTTTTAAACATTTTTTGTAATACAAATGTGTGCAGAGAGCATGTTTCTAAGTTATTTTTATTATTAAATTCTGATGATACTACATCCAAATAAAAGTTCATATGAAAAGTCTAAACCAATATCCTAGAAACTTTTAGTAGAAATGTGTTTTTAAGAAACTAAGAATGTCTATGAATGTAAGTATTATGCAGCGATCTATATTTTCTTATACAGTATATATCCTCATCTTATCCTAATGGCCAGATAATTAAAATGTTTTTCAGGAACAGTTATTTCAAGTTGATTCATTTTTTTAAAAATTACAAAGAGTTAATACTTAACTGGCCTGTTTCGTGAGTCAGAATGTAGTTTATTTACTTCTTTTCTTTTTTGGCCCATTTAATCCAAATCATTACTACAATCTGTGATTCTTCCTCTACAATGTCCTTTGGATCTTTCCCTTCTTGTTTATTCCCACATCCATTACAACAGCTAAGTCCCTATTACTTAACCCTGAGGACTATTTACACAGCCTTCTAGTTCATCTTCTTCTCCAGAGTTCCCAATTCCAATCCCTCCTACCCACAGCTATTGGAAGTATCACCTACTCCCTGTGCTAGAATTGATACTGGCTTCCTGTCACCTACATTATAAGTCTGAACTTCTAGGTCAAAGCCCTTTATTAACTCTTTTTTAACCCTCAACTCTGCATTTATTACTGCTCTCCAGTCATGCTGGTCTGCTTGCCTTCCACATGAGGGATATGCTTCTTTGCAGAGGCTCCCCTCCACCGGTTTCCACTGACCCTTTCTAAAAATCCAACCAGAGCCAGGTGCCAGTGCCTCATGCCTGTAATCCTAGCTGCTCAGATGGGAGAGATCAAGGGGATTACAGTTCAAAGCCAGCCCCCAGCAAATAGTTGCAAGACACTCTCTTGAAAATACCCAACACAAAACAGAAGTGGTAGAGTGACTCAAGTGGTAGAACGCTTGCCTAGCAGGTGTGAAGCCCTGAGTTCAAACCCCAGTACTGCCAAAAAAAAATTCCAACCAGAACAGTATTACTTCAGCAAGCCTCCCTGACCTACTCTAGGCAGCAATAAGTGCTCCCTGTCTCCTCTCAACATCCCATCATGGGCTGAGGGTCTGGCTCAGTGGTAGAGTGCTTGTCTAGCATGTGTACAGCCCTGGGTTCCATCCTCAGCACTGGAAAAAAAATTCTTATTATCAAATGTACTGCCTTTGTTGTGTTCCCATCTCATGTACATGTTGATTTGCTCTTTTGTCCCTGTAAAACTTTTCTCAAATAAAATCCCTGATGAAGGAATAATCAAATGAATGAATACACATGGTCATAAATGTCTAGACTTAAAGAGTTGTCATCTCCAGGTGTGTGAAACTGCTGAAGGAAAAAATTGGTTCCAGTGAGATATTTGGTCTTTTGTCTAACTATTAAGCAGGCAGAGAATCTTGAGCTTTAGACACAACTCTGAAACTCACAGGTTCCTTTCCTTGGATCTCCCTATCAGGATTCATGGAAATTTTAGTGAAGGTGATACAAATTTTTTGCCTTATTTTTTTATTATTATTTTACTGGGGGTACATTGTGACATTCATAAAAGTTCCTACAATATCATAGTTGATCTCATCCCCTCCATTATTCTCCTTTTTTCCCCCTGCTCCCATTCCTGGAATAGTTTCAACAGGTCTCATTTTTCCACTTACATATGTGTATACATAATATTTCTACCATATTCACCCTAAAAATATGGAATACTTCATGAATTTGCATGTCATCCTTGTGCAGGGGCCATGCTAATCTCTGTATCGTTCCAATTTTAGTATATGTGCTGCTGAAATGAGCACAAAGGTCATAAATTAATTCACTGATTTTTTTCTCTAGTTTACAGCTACTAGTCCAGCTGAAGCCAGAGACTGGGTAGATCAAATAAGTTTCTTACTGAAAGGTAAGTGTCATTATAACAGAAATACATTGTATATGAGTGAACTAAGGTCTTCCATATGTATTTTTCTGTTCTTTCTCCCCTCTCCCTTCCCCCTCATATGCCCATATCATAGCCACAAATAGTACCACGTAAGAAGGTAAGGAAATCATCCACCTGGAGAGGACCTTTGATGTCATAGCTCATCCACCTACATATAGGCAAGTCTATAATAGTCATATAATTACTAGAAAAGGAGGCTCTGAAAACCAGCTCTCCCAATCCACTATCTCCTAAGTCCTTTTATTATCAACGGAAAATTCATAATATCTAACTTAAAATCATTTAATTGCAATTAAGGTCCAAAATCTTCTTTTGATCAGTCTTAGACGTATAACTCTAAACTAATCTAGGTGACTCTTGGGGACTTTGGACATTAAAATCAAATGACTCTTTCCCAAGCCACAATCAAATGTTCCTTGCTTTAGGATGGGAAGAGTCCTGCCTGAAGATGTTAAATGACTGCTCTTAGAGTACCCTCTGCTGGCCAATCTGCAGGTACAGCCATCACAGGGGCCCAGAAAGCCTTGTCTGAGAGTGTGGCCTGGCAAACAGATCCAGTCCACCTTGAGTGTATTGTTTGGAGTCAAATAGCCTTCATAGCAGGACCCTGCCTCACAGAAAGGCAGGGACCCCAACTTTGTATATGACCCAAGACTCAGGGAGAAGCACACCAACCTAAAAACACCAAGCTTTTTCATTGTAGTTTTTATTCTGCTATAAGATTTTATTGTGGATAAAAAGAACAGAGCACCCGAGCTTTAATTACAAGAATTGCCTGTTTTCCTCAGTTATGCCTTTGCTATCACCAAAACAAACTATTGCATCTTCCAACAGCATAATGTATAAGAGACTGGAACTAGGCAAATATGAACATTGATGGCAAGACAACAGGGTACACTCTCATCTAGGTGCCTAGGATTTATGCATGTAATATACCCCTAAGTGTGTAAACCTCAATAAAACTCAAAGCAGCTTTATTGAGCTGTACCCTGTGGTACTTTCAGAATCCCACACTGAAGAAATTATTCATTCCATTTTATTTTAAAACAAACAAAATAATAACATATGGTTTAAGCCACAAATGTGCCTTTGATCCTTTCCTCATATGAAGTGGCACCAGAATTCAGATGAAAATTGTTGTGAAATCTTTATTAAAAGCCTAATCAAGCCAAACAGTTTTATTGTGTTTTGAAATGAGCATCGATGTCTCTCTACCCTTCCCTTCCCCCAGAGTATGCTGACTTTACTAGCCTGTCTCTCAGCAGGGTTTCAGAGAGCACTCTGTATTGCACATCAGAGAATGACTTCCCAGTTCCCCATCAGAATAAAAACCAATCTCCCTCCCTGCCCTGGTGCTCCCTAGTGCTGTAATGGCTCAACATTCTCTATGCAGTGACCCACTTTAAGGTCAGCCAGACTGTACAGTTGCAAAAGGACACAGTCACCACATCGTTTAGCTGTTCCATTTGGTCTTGCATTACTGTTATATTTCTCCATACCCCATTTCTTTTCCTCTTCCACTTTTTCCCATTTTTTTTCTCTCTACAAACTTGTCTGAAATTCTGAACTGAGACCACAAGGGAAATGGGTTTCCAAAAGCTCATGTGGCCTCTGCAAGTCACTGTAGTTGCCCTGGCTCTGTGCACCCTAGAGAACCATGGTCCATGGTCCACTTTTCTACTTGATGTGCAGAGCAGTTCGTGGCACAATGGCATTTCCTCTTCTGACCTATTTTCTTCCCTTTGCCACATGTTCTCATTCACACACCCATACTTTTCAGGGCTCCTCCATCCTGATCAAGTTTTATTGCAAGGAAGGATTTATGTTGATGGCTTAAACTGATGCAGTGCTAGTCTGGCCTTTTCTGTAGATTTCCTGCCACCAAGGCCCACATTAGAAATAACAGCACTTAACCTAGTGTTTCATTTTCTCTTGACATGTTTTATTCTCATCCCTCCTTCTCCTTTACCCTCCTTCCTTCCTGTCTTACTCTTTTCTTTTTCTCTCTATCTTGATTCATTCTCATCTTTGCCCTGGCAGATCTGAGCTCCTTCGCCATTCCCTATGAAGAGGAGGAGGAAGAGGAAGGAAAGGAGGAAGTGGAAGAGACATATGATGATATTGATGGCTTTGATTCCCCAAATTCTGGTTCCCAGTGCAGATCCATCATCTTGCCTGGGAGTTCAGGGATGCAAGAGCCCACAGAGGAGGAAGAGGATATTTATGAAGTCTTACCAGGTGAGAAATTTCATCTTCTAATTGTCTCCTCCTACTTTCAAAAACCCTGAAACCTCCAAACGAAGCCAGTTCTAAATTCCATCCTCTGAAGGAGAGAATGTAAGGAAGCTTATAGAAGCTTATAGGAAGGCAGTATAGAAGTTCTGCCTTTCTCTGGAAACAAGATGAATTTGATCAAGGAGCATCCCTCATCTGTGCTACATGAAGTAGCTTATTACATGTGTCGACAAGGTTACAGCGTCAAGAATATTCATGTTGGTTTTCACTGGCTTACCATGAGTTTTGGGTGAGTCATCAAAACTCTAATTTCAACTTCTTTTCTGTGGAATCCCAAGCATGACAGAAAGTTGCCTCAATAACATGAAATAAATGCTGACAACCCTTTTTAGTGATACAGTAAAACCCTGACAGAGCACAACTCATTATTACCTAGAATCAAATCACATCTCTTAAGTATAAACCTATCGTGCTTCCCCTCTGCCCACTGTTACAGCAGGTCTACTCTATAGATCACTTTCCTCCCAAAGGTAGGATAACTAGTATCTCAGAAAATGTACAGTCATCACTGCTTCCGCAGAGCCACTTCTGGTGGGGATACAGCAGCTGGTGAATAGTGCAGACACAGTGGGGGTCAGACTGGAAAACTAAAGCCTGAGCCTTTTAATTGTGAGGTAGTTAGACCACAGGAATGCTGAATCTTCAAGTTCATTCAGAAAGAGTGTTCCTGTGGAAATCTGCCAGAAATTCATTGCTTTCTTAAGAAATTCAACTTAAGCCTAAATTTATAACAATTTAAACCTCCATCCAGGTGAACCTAGGAACTAAGGTGAATCTAACACTCAGGCCCTTGAAAACAGGGCCAGTTGCTAAAAGCATCATTAGTAAGTAATTGCCTTCCAGAGCTTCCTAAGAAGAAAGTCCCATCCTGTCAGTTCTGCATTCTGCATTCATCTCTTCCCTGGGACAAAAGCCATGTCATTGCTTCCTGAGTCAAAGAGTGGGGCTGTGACACACATCCCCACCAAGGAGAGCCTGCTTCTTCTCCTAGTACTTCCAGCCTCTGCCAGTTCCCACTTCCCCAGCCCTTTTTGTTGTGTTTTATTATGCAAACGATATCTTGGTTGAGGTCGAGCCATTTCTTGTGTCTGAAGTTAAAAAAAAATGATAATTTCCTCAGCAAGTCATCGTCGTTAATGAAGTTTTACAAAAACAGATACAACCAAAGGAAAATAAAATTTCACAGGTGATAAATTTTTCCAATTTCCCTGGCAGAATTCGATAGGATTGTTAAATTAAGAGTGAAGGTGTCTGTTAGAAAGCAACGAGCAGTGATGGGTAATTTTATAGAGTGGAAAATTGAATCAAATTGCTACATTAAAACACAGCTCCTCTGAGAATCTTCCCTTTCACAGCCTGCTCCATTGCAACAGCAGGGTGCAAAAATGGATCTAATTCACAACACTCCCTAAAAGGAGATGCACTCCCCAATTTGGCCAGAATCTTCCTAGTGAGCTCACATTCTGCACTCCTGGCCAGACTTCGGGAAATATCCAGGTGACACTTCACTCCACTTTGGGTTACAGCTGTGGAAGAGTGCTCTGGGAAAACTCCGCTGAACCACTCTACCTTCTGGGGTGCAAAGAAAAGACTTTTATATGTCGTGTATAGTTCTCAAGGGGGCTGATGCTCAGAGACACAGAGCAAAGGGAAAGAGGCCTCAGAAGATGAGTTTGAGGCGTACCCTGACTCTAGGTGGGAGCAAGGAATGTACAAAGTGGCTTCTTAACCACCATGTTTCTCCTGTTTCCTAAGCCCTACCCTCAGCCATTGTCCAGAGTATCAGAGCAATATTCCAAATTCCTCATAGCTTGTATATTGGAGTGGATCCAAGGGTGTGGGAACTAGTCTGCCTTCTCAAAGAAGACACTAACTCTGTGACCACAACTACTATCCATAGGAAGTGGCCACACAGTAGGAAAATCAGGGTCTCTTTCTGTAGGTTAGGTAAACAGGAGTTAACTTGCCTGTGTTTCCAAAGGATAAGACTGTACCAGCCAACAGTTTGTTTCTCAAAAGCCTCTACCCATCACAGTCGTTAGCATTGAAGGTGAGATACATAGACATTTAATTATGATGTGAATATTTCAAATATTTCGGCCATATTCAAACTTCCTGTCTACTCTACTCTTGTTGCTTCTAAAATTGCTGTTTGAGTTTTGCATGTGCCACACCAGTCTGCTAGGGAATGTGAGGCACCTAGCATTATCTCCCTTCTGCCACCATCTCACAAGACCACCTACTCAGCACTGGGATAAGAGAGACAGCATGGTATTGCAGGTACAAAGCTGGCTGCAAGTCAGGATGTATCTGCTGTGCGACCTGCTAGTTGTGAGGACTTGAGCAAGTTCCTTGCCCTCACTGTCTAATTGTCCTACTTGTAAAATGGGGAAAACAATAGATGCTATCCTAGAGAGATGTAGGGAGGAATCTATAATTGACATGGGTAAAGCACTTAACACAGAGTCCTGGCATTGCAGTGAGCACTCAGTAAATAATAGCAAGTATTAACCTGGTGGTGTTTAAACAGGAAGTGTTACCTTCTTAAAGAGTTTGGGGATGGCTATGTCCCCGCACTCACCAACCTGACCTGAGACAGTCCAGTTGGGCATTTGCAACTATGTGTGTGAAGCAGGTGAAATTGAAAATTCTGAGCAGATGGAGTGTGGAGAGCACCTTCTGCTCAGGCCCATTTTTACTGCAAGGCCAGGTGCTGGGTGGAGAGACAGTTGACAGTAACGTGGGATTGTGCTAACATTGCATACCCATCAACAGTCAAATGGATTGGGCTCTAACATTTGTTTCATTATAACAGGTAAACGTGCTTTGTGAAGGCTATTTTAACATTGGCATTTCTGTTAATCCTCCTGTTTGAGATGGGGCCTTCCCAAACCCTCACTGTCTCCATGGAGTACCCATATAAGTGAAGTCTCCCTTCCGGAGTATGACTTATTGGGCCGCCTAGTTGAGAGAAAAGAATATACAACACATACCAAGTCAATCAAAAATGTCTTTTGTCCTAATCAAAATAATGTATGGGTCATCAAATTAAATGCACTACATCACATTAATCACAGGATAATTAGCATTTGCTACATGGCTAGCACTCTTGTCCTCAAGAGGGAAAACCAGAACACTCAAGGTTTTTAGCCAGACCAAAAAATAATTAGTTTTGGAACATACAGTTTCAGGGTTGGTATCCATTTGGGATTTCTGAACATCAGTGTTGAGCACATAGGGGCCCTTGATTTTTAGGATCTTGTTTGCAGTAGATTAAACTTCAGGGAAGTACCATGAAGAAATGCTAAACTAAATCAATAGGTAGAAAATGGGAGGCTTTTTTGAACCTTTTCTCATCTCCCCTGAAGTTATTCTGGAGGCCAACAAAGGCCCAATTCCATGATTCAAGATTCCATAAGAGGACAACTGTTACCAGGTTCCTCTTTGGAGCGTCAAGACTGGAATCCAGTAAGGCACCTGAGACATTTGAAAACCTGTAACTTGGATCTTGTAGCAGCTACAATGGTGGCAGAATACAGTTGTGTTCTCTAGAGAGATTTCAGAAGAGCAAACAGAAAGAGAGAATGAGAGGGCTTTCTGGGAATTTCTATATACATTCTGAAGCTACCCGAACTGCCCAGTGGAGTTATAATAGATCCAGAAATCAGATTGCTTTATAATAAAGTATATAGCTGGTGTTTTTTTGAGTTTTTTTTCTTTTTAATTTAGAGGCAAATGGAAACAACATTCTGTGGAATTATCTCCTTCTACCCCCCACCCCAGTTTTCCAGACTCACAGGAAGAGGAAATGGTGATAGTGAGTGATCTAAAGAAAGAAAGAAGAAAAAAAAACCAAGAGACAGATCCAAAACACAAAGCTTGTGAAGAGTCATTGCTATCCTCAGCCTCCTTCAAGCCTCCTGCCCTTTCTCTCTCACTCTCCTACACCCTGAGCCCCAGCCTCATGGTCATGGCCAGCACCATGATCTCACCTGTGAAAATTCTAGACATTCTGCTCTCATGGGCCCTCCTCAGTGACACCCTCTCAGTTACTCACCTGAAATGAAACTTTGTTTTAGCCCTTATCATGGTGATTCATATTCATGTCTTTCTCCCCAATTAATAAGTGCTCAGTTATTGTTTGTGAAATTAAATTCAGTTCATTTCAAGTGTTGCAGTTAGCACAAATTGAGTTTAATATTTTTATACATCAAGATCATATCAAGGAGCTAGGATGCAAGTACCTTGAGGAAATGGTTGAAATTACCTAACACACAACAAAGAATTAGTTGTAAGCCTCTTGCTTGTATTTTCTGTTGCCTGAAGAGGTGCTGTGGCATCCATGGATTTATAACATGTCTGTGCTTGCCATAGAGTGAGGTTATTTCTACTTTTCTGCATATTCTGTTTGCACTTTGAGCCTGTCTGTATTTCTGTGGCATCTGTCACCAAAGCACCTTGACATCTGGTTGCACATTGATACAGTCTGCATTTTTTTTTAAGCTTTTGTCACTTTGCTTCATTTGGGGCAAGTGATGTCCTCTCTTTCTGATCTAGTTGGAGTTGGTTGTTGTCGGTATTGTTTTTGATTTTTGTTTTCTGTTATTCTTTCTGGTATTGGTTTAGCTAGGATCAGGGGTGGGCATCAGAGCAGCACTCCAGAAAGCAGCCAGGTGTCATGAGAAGCTGGCTCCTCTCTATCCCTTTTGAATCCAGTGTCCTATTCTTCTCAGCTCTCATTAGTGTCCCTGACACTGTGCCAAGAATGTTGATTGAAATTGACTCTCCGGATACTGATGCTCATTTGTGATGCCCCATGGTTCTCTTACATGTTCACACAGTTAACAGAATCTTCTTCAACTGTTTTCCCAATTGAGATGAGATATTTGGGGATCAAGTAGAGCATTTAATGTAATAAGTGGGCAGTAATCTTCAGAGGTTAATTTGTTTAAAGCCTATGTAAGGTTGGGGTCCCATATGCCCTGTTAGGAGCAAGTACCATTATAATCTATTACTGTTTAAAGTTGAACTAGCACATAAATTTTAATTCTCTCTTAGATGAAGATGTATTTCAGTAGATGTAATGCTAAAATGCCTAATAATATTCTTACAGAGAAGTTCAGTGAGCTCTTTAATCTAAAAAAATTTTTTTCAAAATAATCTTTTAAAATTAAAGTCTCACATTAGATTACCAAAAGTGGGAAATTTGGCTATTTAACCCACTGTCTTTTTTCTGTTGCCATATAATCAGTTGTCTTGACTTTGGAGCTTGAAAGATACCAGGTTGGTTTCACCATTTATTCCAAGCCAAATTGAACACCTCTCTATTTGAACTTACCTTCTGAAGCCAGGAAGGTGCCTAGAGGTGTGCTTTTCAGAATCAGCTTTGGAAGGCTCTTTCCCTCAGTAGGTGACAAGGCCCCATCCTCAGTATTTCAAAGCCACAGAGGGGCAGCCCCTGGCCCATCACTTACAAAGTCTCTTGACTTGAGCCCACTCTCAGCCACTTGGGAAGGACATTAGACAGAACAGATGTGGGGACTGGAGCTTCCCCCTTGTCATCCATCATTGTAGAGCCTAGTAATGGTGGTGAATGATATATAAGCTCCATGGCCCCTGTTCTCTCTTTCTAGGTGACTCCAAAGGCGCAATGGAATCATAGTATCTGGTCTGGAATTGAACTGCATAGACCAGATTTCTATTTTTTCCATTTTTGTAGGGTAACTAGATTAAGTGCTGGTGCCTGAAAGGATAAAGGAATCAAGTTTTAGTTTTCATTTTTATCATTGCAAATACATTTACATTCTCCTTTTTTACAAATGCAAAGAGCAGGCAAGCCACTTTCAATAATTTATTTTAAAATCAATGCTAATGAGATTATGTCTCGTCAGTGGCCGAGTTTTACAATAAAGTCTGATTTATTTAGAAAAGATCTTTGGTGTAGCTTCCCATCTAATGGTGGTGGGAAGGAGGTGGAGTAGCAGGCACGGTGACCCTCCAACTTCGGATCCAATTTGTAATTCACAGCGGAGATCTGACCCAATTTACATTGATTAGAATTGGGAGGAAGAGACAGCTGCACACAGACAGCAGAGGTAGAATAAACCCTCTCTGCAAAAGTGCCTAAGCACAGCAAATTACTGGTCTTGTGATTGAGTTGTTTGATATCAGCAAAAGAGCTGCTCTCTATCCAAATTGTTGGGTGTCTCTAAAATGAGGACTACCAACTCTTACCCTAAGGTTTTCAATCCTGTAAAATTAGCCCCACATCAAAAAGGAAAAAGCATCATAGCAGAGGAAGGAAGGAAGTGGACAGTAATGAGAAGACAATGTGCAAAGAATGATGTTTAATGTGATTTATTTCAGCATGATCCGTTTCCTATATTTGATTTTACTCCTCCATTATCTCACATCTTGGTTCCTCACTGTAGGGTTGGGGGAGCACTACAGATGCTAAAGGAGGAAAACTCTGCTATTTGGACCTTATAGCATTTTGTAGGGAAAGTATATGTGCACTTGTTTTTTTTAATCTTGGTAACAGGTGAATTACTTCTTCAGAGTATCAATCCTTAATTTTTATTTTTTGTAAGGAACGGTATCATTTTTTACATTAAGTCAAGTACTTTTTAATGTTCCATAGTGTTCTAACATATTTTTATGCTGTTTCTTCTCACCTTTAGGTTTGGAACTTACTTTCCTAATCTGACATGCTAGAATTATAAAACTTACATTTTAAAAAAGATTGGGAGCAGGGGATGTAGCTCAGTGGTAGAGCACTTGCCTAGCATGTTGGTGGCCCTGGGTTTGATCCCCAGCACCACAAAAAAAAAAAAAAAAAAGTTGGAAAAAGAAGTCCCCAAGCCATCTAAACTAGTATAACTATGGAGAAGCAAGACAAGCAAGTGCCATAAGGCCTAGGAAGAAAAAGGAAAGTAAACGCATCTAGGAAAAACTGAGTATTCAGCCCTCAAAACATTGCTTATTATGCTCTCTCGTGTGTGTGTGTGTGTGTGTGTGTGTGTGTGGAGAGAGAGAGAGAGAAGGAGGGGGGAAAGAATAGTGAGTGTTTTATTGCTCATTTTGCCCCTTGTATAAAAATTACTATATGTGATTCTGGTACACATACTATCTTTCTAAAGGTTCTAAAGGCTCAATTCCTAGTTTATCAAGTCACATGAAGCCTGAGATGAAACAGGTGAATGAGGGTAAAAAACTTAGGCCAGTCATGTTGTGACTTTGGCCATATAAACACTTGACTAGAGTTAGACACTAGCATTGACTTAGAGCCCATTGTGAATCTACAGCAATTAATTAAAAGACCATTCCAACTGCCCTCAGGAGCTTATACTCTAATGAACAAGGCAGGCTGAATAAAAACAGTAAAAAGGTAACTCTAAGCCCCCAGTACTAGGAACATAAAATTATGTACATGACCAGCCTCTGCTACAGCTGAACAAAGATGGATACATTAAGGACTAATTAATCACAGAGGGTTTAAACACCCAGGTCCAATCACACACACACACACACACACACACACACACACACACACACACACACATCCTAACTCTGGAGTGTCTGAAACCAAAGATGATACCTACATAGAGATAATAAACATGGGAGAGAATTCCAGAAGAGAAGGAGAAATAGAGTTTAAGGGAAAAGATTAAGATTCTAGTGATAGGCACCTCAATAATCCAATGAACTGGAAGCTCAGTTCTCTCAATTGCTTGTCCCCAGTACCTAGTGAAGCACCTTGCATATAGTAAGCACTCAAAATGTTTGGGAATGAATGAATGGGAAAGGAAGGAGGAGAGAGCCAGTTTGAAGGTAAAAGATAATTAGAAAGAAATACCATGGTAATTAGTTTCCTTAAAGAAGAGAGTGTCCTTGTGCCTCCAGATGTGATACCCAATAGATACAGCCCCCTGGATGTGGCATTGTAGCCCCAAATCCACAATCTGAATATAAGCATGAAGAAAATAAAAAAACGAGGATTGTTCTATAAAATATATTCTTAAAGTGTCAATGTCATGGAAGACAAGGGCTAAATTAACTATTGCCCTTAGTCTTAAGGAAGACCTAAAAAATAAATAAAACATCCAGGCACCAGTGGCTCACACCTATAATCCTACCTACTTGGGAAGCTGAGATCAGAAGGATCACAGTTCAAAGTGAACCCAGGCAAATAGTTCAAGACATTCCCCCTCCCCGTCTCCAAAATAACCAGAGCAAAATGGAATGGAAGTGTAGCTCAAGTGGTAGAGCGCCTACCTAGCAAGAGCAAGGCCTTGAGTTCAAACCTCAGTACCAGCAACAAAATAAAGAAAGAAAGAAAGAAGAGTGTGTCTTAGTTGAGCCTGATGGCTCATGCCTGTAATCCTAGCATTTGGGAGGCTGAGACAGGAGGATCCCGAATGTGAGGCTAGGCTAGGTATGAAGTAAGACCCTGTCTGAAAACAACAACAGAGAGAGAGAGAGAGAGAGAGGAGAGAGAGAGAGAGAGAGAGAGATGAGCTCAGAGAAAGGCAGGCCCTCAGTATAAACAACATGACACTGTCCCTCACCAATTACTAATGCTGATTATTTGTCCCTTCAGATGATGACCATGATCCAGAAGAGGATGAGCATGGCACTCGACGAATAGGAGGTATAAGAGCGCACAGATGCACAGCACTGGGTGGGGCTTTCAGACTTCCGGCTCAAGAAAGCACTACCAATACTGGATTCACCAATGAATAGGACCCCCATGTACAACCCCCGAAAGCCTCCAACAAAGTAACCGGCTAGGGAAATACCTTAACTTTAAAGCAGCCACTCAATCACTTAAATGAATGCTACCAGAACCGATACGATTTATCCTAGAGAGGGTGGGAAGCCAAACCAGGTATTTATTTTTTCCTATCAGTGTTTCTTAAGTCAGTACAGAAATAGAATTGCCTCAGCTCTAGTAGACCAGAGGATTGAGAATGGGAAGAATAGAAATGTCTCCTGTCTGAGAGGCTGGGAGATTGCAAGTTCAGAGAAGAATGGAAATGTGTCAGATCTGAAAAGTGAACAAGGGGTGAAGGATAGAATTGCTTGGCAACACTGACTTCTGATGGCCAGGTTTGATTTCGGGCACATTTGGAAATGAATATGTAACAGGTTTGTTGAATACAAAATTGTATCTTATTCATCCCAGACAACAGTTAACCACGCTTCAGGCTGCTAGTGAGCCCATCCCTCCTAAGGTCAGGTGTCCCTGGGGGTCTCCTTAAGTGGACCAAGGACCCATTTCTTCATTGTCATTGAAGGAATGCTGCCCTGTTGCCAGGGCTGCCTCAACGACATACATTCATTCCATCAGCAGAGCCCGAATCAAGACTGATTTAGTTACTAGTTGATTTTTTTCTTAGAATCTGTGAAAAATCATTCAGGGAGGGCCGGAGATGTAGCTCAAGTGGTAGAGTGCTTGACTAGAAAGCACTAGGTCCTGAGTTCAAACCCTAGTACTACCAAAAAAGGAAATCATAAAGCTTAGGAGTTCTTTCCCTCTTTACCTCCCTCTCCATTTCTCTGGCACTACCTTCTTTTCCCATTCTCCTCTCTCTCTCCTCTCCTACTTTCCTCCTGCTTTTTCTTCTCTTTCTGACCCACTCAGCAAAGCCTTCCTCGTTCTCGACGGGTGAATCTTAAAGGTTTAATGAAGAACTCCAGTTCAAAGGATCCAACTTCTCCCAAGCGAGAAAAGTCAGAGGCAGGTGTCAGAGGCCATGTGCCCAAACAGGAGAGAAAGCAACTGGGATGAGGACAGAGCGGGGACGTTAGAGGGGCTTTGAGACCCTCATAGCGACTAACACATGGAATTAAGTCCACTCTGAAACCTAGTTTCTACTGTTTTATAACTTGCTGGACAGAATTCTAGCAGAAAATCTGTTCTGACCAACCCATGCCATGTAAGTCTTTTCTCAACCAACTTCCATCACCACCATGGAAAAGCAGCCCTCCATGGAGGCAGCTTGGCCAGAATAACTGCAAATTTCCTGTGGTCAATGTTATATTAAACTCCATTCAGGAAGCAGCAGTCTTCTGGCAAAGTCTCCCTCATTTCCTTCTTCCTCCTTGCTCTGTTCTCTAAGGTTATAGACCTTAGACTATATATCTGGAAGTGAGAAGAGACTGCTTTTTTTTTTTTTTGTGGTGCTAGAGTTTGAACTCAGGGCCTCACACTTGCTAGACAGGTGCTCCACAATTTTAGCCATTCCAACAACCCTTTCTTGTGTTGGGTTTTTTCAAGATAGGGTCTTGAGAACTATTTGCCCAGGGCCGGCTTCAAACTGTGTTTCTCCTAGTCTCTGCCTCCTGAGTGGCTAGGATTACAGGCTTGAGCCTGATTTCTTAACTGTTCCAACAGGTATAATTCAAGTAGGTTTAAAAAAAGCACTTTTGTTCCTCACACTTCCTGCCTCTAAAATAGGGGCTGTTAAAGTACACCAAGCTGTAAATATGTTTCTGTGGTTTCTAATTCCCACCAGTTATAATGATTGGTGGCTTAGAGATTAAAAAACAGGAGGACTTTTCGCTCTCTCTGCAGAATCTGAGGCAGGAATTTTTATTATTTGTGTTTACTTACTTATTTATTGAATTTATATAGTGCTTTTTCTCCAAAGGAGCTACAGAAACAGCAACAAATATGTAACATCCAAATGTCACACTTAGTTTTATAACAATAAAAGATAGAGGATCAGGGAAAGGCAGGCAGTCTCAACGAAGGCATTTAAAAGCCAGGAAGCCCTGAGTTCAAGCCCCAGTACCACAAAAAATAAATAAACAAAAAAGCAAGGCACTTTGGGACAATGTGAATTCCTAGGTCAAAGTTTTTCTCAGGTATTACATGTTTTGGAGGGAAAACATTTTAAGTAAATTGACCTTCCCCTTTTCCTTTCCTAACATACTGCAGCTGGCAGGGTTCCCTTTTCTCCCACAATCCTTTTCCTTGCTTTTCCCTGACAGAATTGCTAACATTTTTAAGGCCCAACTCGATCTTATCGGAAGAGAGAAGGAGAGAAGGAATTCAGTTTATCCTTATTGAGTGTTAATGACCCTGTAAGATGCAATTTCTTTTATTTTATTCTGTTACCTAGAAAATCTATCACAGCCTTGTAGTATTGATTGTTCAATCTATAAAGAGCTCGGTTTACAGCATGACTGTTAGTAACAGGGTTATTTTAATGAGTGACTCTTCAACACCTCAGATTTTCTCTAAATTCCAATTATCAACCTCAGGCAGATCTAACGCTAAGGGCCTTTGATGATGAGAGCTTATCTCCATCTTGATCACGAGAAGGTAATGTCTAAATGACCAGGTAATCACAACTCACTCTGTGCTGTTTGTATAAAAACTACCATCCATTTGCTTGGGTGTGCCGTGCTAACTGCAAAGCTTCTCCAGGCAGAAGTCACCCTTAGATATATCAGATCTCGGACCAAGGAAGACTTTGGAACAGGGTTTTGTTTTGTTTTTTCCTTCACTCTCTGAAATTATGGGCAAACTAAGCAAAAGAGACAGACTACAGTATTGCAGTCTTATAAGCATTTGGTAATTTCAGGAGGTCAGAAAAACGGTTGCTTATAAGCATTCCATCTCGGAATAAAGTAGGGCCTCTTAGGACCTATTTAGTGCCTGCCCAGCAAAGAAGTTACACCTGAGATACAGGGAGGCTGCACAGGGTTTTGCTGCCCTTGCCATTTGAAACCTATTTTCCAAGACTAACCATGAGTTTATCATCAACCAGCTAAACTTTTGATCCAACAAAAGGAGTAAATGAGATGAAAATTCCCACTTCTAAGTCATACTTATAACATTAAGGACCATAGTAATTACAGGACTCAAGATTAAGTAGCTATGAAAGTAAGCAAAGGGTAGCTGGGTATAGTGATGCATATGTGTAATCCCAACACTCAGGAGGCTGAGGCAAGAGGATGACGAGTTTGAAGCCAGCCTGGGATACAGGGGAAGACCCTAACTCAAAAAGGAGGGAAGGAAGGAAGGAAAGGAGGGAGGGAAGGAAGGAAGGAAGGAGGGAGGGAGGGAAGGAAGAGAAAGGGAGGGTGAAAAGGAGGAAGGAAGGGAGAGGGGAGAGGGAGAGAGAAAGAGAGGAGAGAGAGAGAGAAGGGGCTAGCAGAGTAGCTGAAGTGGTAGAGCACCTGCCTAGCAAACATGAGGCCCTGAGTTCAAACCCCAGTACTGCCAAAAAGAAAAAAAGGAAGGAAGGAAAAAAATGGTATTGACAATGATCAGAAGATGCTCTTCTACTCTGGTGCCATAGTCTGTGGAGCTTGGTGAATTTTTTCATACTTTCCTTCTGAGACAGTTAATAAATATCAGACAGTCTGCCTTCATGGACTGAACATGGTGACCCTTTCTGACCTCAAAAGTGTTTCAGGTAGCATCCAATAGGCCACTGCTTTGACCATACTCTGGTAGGATTGGCTTCATCTGTTTTCTTGGTTTTGTCTCTCTTTTCCATAATTTAAATGGTTGTGCTCAATGTCAAGCCTCACTGACACAGCCCTTTTACTCATTAAGAAAATGTAAACAACATGCTGGCCTGCCTTTACCCTCTTTTCCTGGTCACAGCTTGAATTCTGGAACAACCCAAAGTCCTCACAAACAAAAGCTGAACTCTGCAAGAAACACAGTCAAGGTCTACTGTCCCTGAAGAAGAAGAGTCAGAAATGTGTCCTGGTCCTTTCACCTTAGTCCTTTCCACAGCTTAGAGGCTAATTTTCATTGACTCTGTGAACAGTAGCACCAGCGTGGCCTTAGTTATAGGAGAAATGACCATCACTGGTTACAAAGAACCTGGCATGGAATGATAAATGCTTTGCAATAAATACCTGGAGAAGAGAAAAACAAAACTTTTTTTTAATGTGGTCTGTTTCTATGACATTTTGTTTGCTTGAAGCTTAGCTTTCTTTATGCGGGATAAAGAGAGTTAGACGCTGCCCACCCCCTTCTCTAGGAAAAGTCCTTCTCAGCTCTGCTAGCAATTTAAATGCAGTGATCATACCCATTAGCTGCTCTATCATTGTAATTGTTGTTAATTGTTATAACTGTTTTAGTTATTAGTGGTGCCATTATTGCTCTAGGTCCTCTGTCTGTTTTATGCTGAATATATTAGTGCTTTGCTTTGTGAATTACCCAGCTTTATTTAGTGCAGAGTTACGGTTTTTTGGAGAGACATTGAGAAATGCTGGCATTAAGCTTTATTCTTTTGTTTTTCATTCCAAATGGACAGACTGGAAAAAAAATAATTAGATGGAATAATGTCTTCAAAATGAGAATGAGGATGTTTTGAATTAATTAAATGGTCAGAATACTGCACCATTTCTGATCTTAGGCTACTGCCAGAATAGTGTAAACCTCCAGTCCTCTGAGGCCCTCAGATTCCCAGTTCCTTTCACTGCTTTAACGAATCCATGTCTGCATGCATTTGCCTGTCTGTAGGATGAGCTTGGCAGGTGCAGGGAAAAGCTGAACCAGCCCTGCAGACTTTTGGACCTTCAGACCCTTCCTGGAGCCAGGCTTCAGGAATGAAACCCTCCTCAGCATTACCTTTTCAAGGGCTTTTAAGTAACAGCTACCACTTTACAGGTGAAGCCTCAGAGAGGCCTTCCCTGACCCCTCAGACTATGGTAAATGCCCTCTTCTTTCTACACAGCAGCTTCAGCTTCCTTCACAGCTCTGTTGCAATCATGAATAAATACTTGTGTAATTATTTATTCCATGGTGCCTCCCCCAATAGATGGTATCCATGAGAGCATGGACCATGTGTGTCCAGTGAGGAATTCCCAGTGTCTGCAGAGTCCCTGGTATTGAATCAGTGCTGCCAAGGAATGAACTAGTAATGTTGCACCCACTCATACACGTAAATGCAAATCATACGTGTTTTAAATGGGAAGTCTGCAATATGGAGTCCAGTCTTATGACTCCCCAGCTGAATACATCTATCCAAGCAGGTTTGATCTTCCCTCAGGTTTTAGCCTTTCATTCTGCTTATTTTTCGGAACTGTCTTGTAATGGTTCTAGTTCATACAATCCCTGTTTTTTGGTTTTTTGGTTTTGGAGGTTTTTTTGTCAGTACTGAGGTTTGAACTCAGGGCCTCTATCACTTGAACCATCCTGCCAGCCCTGTTCTGTGTTGATTATTTTTGAGATAGGATCGCGTGAACTATTTGCCCAGGTTGGCTTCAAACCAAAATCCTCCGGATCTCTGCCTCATGAGTAGCTAGGATTACCGGCAAGAGCCACCGTTGCTTGGTTGGCCTTTTCTATCTTTATTCTTTCCTGGAAGGCTTCTGTTTTCCTCCCAGCTTCCTGCTTTCTGTGATCTATTGTGCTTTCAGCAAGACCTTTTTCCAGGTGTTCTTCCCATATTCCATATACCTAATATCAAATCTCCTTTTACATATGTATACCCTGAGGAGCTGTCCTAGATATTGAAGTCTGTGGGGAGCAGACCTCAAAGTGACTGTTTGCAAGGTCAAAAAAAAAAAAAAAAAAAAGCCAAAATACCATTGTCAGTCTTCTCACCACTCAGAAATACCAAGCTAGCTTTTAAACATCTATTTTTATAAAAATGATTTTCTCTGCCATCTATAAATCCATGAAGAATATTGAATGTCAATAGACTTTTCATTCCTAAATTTAGTCAAAATCTTGGTGGTGATTTATCAACTCCATTACAGCTGGAAATGTATAATATATCTTCTGGGAAAACCACTCTCACTTTTCAGGGATTGATATTTCTCTATTATTTCATGCACTGATATTCCCCAAAATGTATTCTTTGTCTTTTTAACAGTTAGCCTTTTTCTTCCAATATATTTTTCTTTCAAATATATTCTTAACTCTGTGGTGGAATGTTTTGGCTGTACTTTATTTGCTGCCCTCTGTTGTCAGCTGCATTTACAAACAATTTTTTATGTAAAGAAAACTTGCCCGAGTTTTTTGTGGTTGACATTTTTACCCCCTTTTGCAATATCTGAGCTTTATGTAAATAGTTCTATCTCTCCTACTTTTGTGCACTTTAAGATTCTTACTAAAGCCGGGGGCCGGTGGCTCACGCCTACAATCCTAGCTACTCAGGAAGCAGAGATCAGGAGGATCAAGGTTCAAAGCCAGCCTGGGGAAATATTGAGACCGTATCTCAAAACATCCCTTCACAAAAATAGGTCTGGTATAGTGGCTGAAGGTGAAGGCCCTGAGTTCAAGCCCCAGTACTGCAAATTTTAAAAAAAAATTCTTACTAAGATTCTTTTCCAGAGACATATAGGGATTTTTTTCCCCTGTACCTTTTTATTATTTGAATCACCCATTACATTAGGAAGAAGAAAAAAAGCAAAGGCAGCCAGGACTCCGTGTCCCCACTGCCGACTTATCTCTGTTCATTCCCATCCTCAGTGACAAGTACCATCACCCTCATGGGAGATTCCAAACAAATGAAGGAAAAGGTGGGTAAATAGAGTCCACAGAAAACACATAACTTTTTGTTTTTGTTTTGTTTTTACTTTTTGAGATAGGGCCTCACTTTGTAGTCTCAGCTGGCCTTAAACTAGCAATCCTCCTTCCTCGGCCTCCTGAGTACTGGGATTATAGGTACATACCACCATGCCTGGCTAAAAAAATCATATACAGTTTAACTAGAACACAGGAATCCCAAATCCAATCAATCAGATTTCACCTTCGGTGGGTGCATAGTTCACAGCTCTCAAACAAAGTGTCCTGAGGAATGGGGAGTATACTTGGTCCAGTGGGCATTAGCTCTTCTACCATTCAAATCCCCAGATCCTGTCCCACTTTGTACTCTAGTGTTTAACCTTTCCGGGTAGGAGAGGATCAATACAAATTCTTCATTGTTAAGAATCGATGGCTGTCCTGTGGCATCATTGCCATCTAGTCTTTCTGAGGAGCCCAGTAAATCTCTCCAGTGCTTCTGAAGCTTGGTTTGTCGTCTTCAGTTGCTTTCATTTTTAATGCAGATCACTTTGGTTTCTGTTTCCCTGGGGGCTTGCAGATAAATCTTGGCAGACATGTTCAGGGTCTACAAATGAGATGCTGGAAAAAGGCCAGCCCACCCAGAATTTAGTTGTAATGGATGAGACACCCCCATGGTTCCACTTAAAGACCCGGCTATTCGTTTCAGTCTTTATTGGTGATTACCTCATATAGTACCTGCGTGGGAAGTGCCCAGAATGAAACTCCCGTGTAACATTGGAGGCCAAAATGTGAGCTGTGATGCAGAAGCATGCTGCTGGCTGACTCTGCCTCTCTTGTAAACAGGCAGAAGTGTCTGTTCCTTCAAATGCATAATGAAGAGAAGTGCCCTGGATCAAGAAAGTCTGTTTGTGCTGTTTATTTACAAACCAGCTAAAAAATTACCTGCCCAATTTTCTTTTATTAATAAATAAATACATTATCATACTATTGAACAGCATCCAACCAGGGTTGATCTGTAAATATTTAATGTTAGTTAATGATCTCCTTCTCCCATAGTACTTTGCTCATGCTGAGTGTAGGGCTGTATCACATCTGGACCCCCCTGAATCTTAGGTTTCCTAGGGGCCATCATTAGAACCTGGTTTCCATTTGCAGCAAAAATGTGACTCCTTGGAAAAGACAGAGTCCTTTTAACTTTGATTTCTCTTCTCTTTGATCAGTGGACTATGCCAGTTATTATCAGGGCCTATGGGATTGCCATGGTGACCAGCCAGACGAACTGTCCTTCCAACGGGGTGACCTTATCCGCATTCTGAGCAAGGTAAGGACATAAAGGATGGAGTTTGCTTCCAAAGTTGTTTTTTTCACTCTTCATGATGTAGCCACCTAAACCAGAATTATTCCATGTTATAACAGTTGTGTATATTACATGGCTCCCTTGCACATAGAATAAATTCCCATTAATTTATAATTGTTAGGGGTTGAAAAGTCAGATTCAAGAATCTGAACTTTCAATTCAAGAATCAATTTTCAAATTTAAAAATATAATAGACATAATATTAAAATCATGCCAATCAAAATTTGATCTTTTTCGAGGACTTGTGATACTTAAAGGTCATTACTATGTACATAATTTATTACCATTAAAAAACATTCTGACAAGGTAAGCTGCCTTCTTATTTCATTTATGGATAAATGAGGCTATAATATGATTACCTATGGGGGAGGAGTCAGAGCTAGTTAGCTCAATTGGTTTGAGCAAGTGCTGATAAGGCCAAGATAGTGAATCCAGTCCAACACAGGCCAGCTAGCTTTATTCTTTTCCTCAACCTAGACTCAGCTGACCATCTCACAAATAGTATTGTTGATTATAAAGGAACAGAGATTTAAAAAAAAAAAAAAAAGAAAGGATGGATTATTGCCAATCCATCACTTATGTCAGGCTACAGTTTGAGGGATCAGTAAATGTCATCCTTATAAATAAAGACCATACATGTTCTATAGGCAGGCCAAGATAACAGATTCTGTCCCTAAAAGAACTTACTAAAAAGGCCTCTCTCTCTGTGTGGCTCAAGTGGTAGACCACCTGCCTAGCGACAGTGAAGCCCTGAGTTCAAACCCTAGTATGGCAAATAAATAAATAAATAAATATATGTGTCTCTCTATGCAGCCAACCAATATCTACAAACATACTTTTGAAATAGACATACTTTGCTCTTTAGTTGTTGAATATATTGGTTCCTTGAAGGAAAATTGAAAACCAATTTTGTTATCAAACCATCATTTACCATTTATCTTTATTCTGTGAATGTCGTTACTACCTAGGCAAAGGGTTTCTTTGGGTTTGAAATCTGCCATAGCTCCTTAGGAAGCAAAGCAGGCTCACCTAAGGTATCTTTCAGTGATTCCAATGAATCAGGCCCCTTTACACAGGGACTAAATTCAGACCTAACCCTTTTCAGGAGAGTAAGGCGGCTTCCAGGCCCTGCAGTGTGAGATCACAATGTTCCAGTGATTTCTCCTGGATCCCTAACTCAGCACCACCCTGCTGCCATTTCGGTGCAGCTCCAATACACCAAGAATAAATTGGAAGCGAAAAAGGGAGTGGACATTGGCCTGATTGGTATTTCAAATGCCCGAAAGCAAGGTTTGCCATGTAATAGAATTTGTGTACATTACCGCGCTGGCATTACGGGATAATCGAGTTATCCACTCAGGTGTGACCAGGCCTCTGTTTGCCCAGAGCCTGCAGGTGAACAAATTCACTGTTTACATTGTCTGGAGGTGCCTGCAGCAGGAGGGGGAGAACAGAGCCAGGCTGTCTGCTGGCCTTCTCTCTCTGTCCTGATTATTTTGTTTGTTTTGCATGTCTTTTGCTTTTGTTAATGGTTTCTCACTGGGGGTCCTTTTCCTCCAGTTAGAAGGGGCTGTGCAGTGACCTGTCCTGCAGTACAGAACTGTCTGTGGTTACCATGGCTGTGGTATTGTTAAGAACCCCCAAAAACATGGAGGAACCAACCCAACCTATCTTTTTTTAAAAACCAAGCCCTCTTTCCCAGCCTCATTACTAAAAGGTAATATGTCAATGTTTAATACAGCAAAAATACCTTGCTGCCCTGATTCTATCAGCTTCTTTATCCACTCTTCTGGAAGGTTCTGAGTCCATTTGCATCCCTTACCATTACAGTATTGTGTTTCTTCCTCCAAAAGCTATGCCAGATGCCTCCCTCCTCATGTTAATCCTGCAGATCAGAGGAGGAATTGATAAGCCAGTACCCAACAGAAGCTGCTTCATTCCAGTTAACACTGACTTGGAGAATATCTCAAGTTGGATTTACCTTGATTCTGTTACCTAACTCAATCAGAGTCCTTGGACAGGAAGGAACCTTAAAAGTCTACCCTGTCTATTTGCTTGCCTCTGAGAAGTACAAATGAACCAATTCAGACAGAAAAGGAGATTCCTGCTCTCTGGAATCGTCTCTCATATGTATCCTAAATTCATCTCACTTAACCCCAGCTGGCTTCCTTTGTTGGAGCCCAGGTTATGGGGTTATGTTCTACAGACTGCCTGTCACACCTGGAAAGACAGAACTGACCCAAGTTGAGTTTAGTCCAGGAAAATGGTGTCTGGAAGAATCCATGTTACTTTTCTCTCTAGCCGTAGCAACTTTGTCAAGCAAGAAGGACCTCTGCTTAGAAAATCGGGGATGTCTGTTTCCCTGAGAAATGCAAGATGCAACTGTACAGTTCATAGCTGGCCTTGTTTCCTCACCTGTAAAATAAGGGAGTTGTCCTGGCTAACATCTGAGATTCCTTCCACCTCAGACATTTCCATTGTCTGGCAGGCCAGACACAGCAAAACTGCTAAGGAAGCCTACATAGAACTATGTCTTAGATTTAATTACTTGCTCAGTTTAAACAACAAAAATTCCAACTACCAACTGTTTTGTCTTCAGCCCTCATACACGCAGCTGGTTTCCCCTACTCTCTGTGTTATTAAAGTATTTCTTTGTGGTGTTAAAAACAAACTCCAGGCCTTTTGTGTGCTAGGCAAATACTCTGCCACTGAGCTAAATCCCTACCCCCTTGATAAAAGAAATTGTGAAGAGGAAATTGGGCTGGAAGAAGGAAGGCCCCTGGGAAGCAAAGCAGGGTGAGCAGGCAAGAGGGGAAAGAAGTCAGCTTTTAGTCCTGAGCAGCTACTGATCCCTGCTATGTTTTCACAGACATGCAAGTATGATCTGCCTAAATCCTAGAGTCTTAGAGCCAACCTTAGGGGAATCTTTCAGTCTTGCCTTTGAACATGAATGAGTACCCCCACCAAAAAAAAAAAAAGGGAGAGAGAGAGAGAGAGAAATACTCTTTTTCTAAAAATAGAAGAATCAAGAGAAGGTGATGCTGGGCAAGAAAGATGTACCCCATGGTTAACCAAATGCTCATCATCACAACAGATGGGCTATTTATGTGACTCTGGAAAAATCACTTCATTTTACTAATTCTCGATTTCTTCATCTGAAAAAGTGGAATAATTTCTATTCAGAAGGTCATTGTGACACTTCCTTACTTAAGGAAATGAAAACTGGCATCCAGCAAATGAAAACTACTATTATATTCTGCTCCTGTCCACTAATAATCAAGTAAACCTCTGGATCAGTGTTGGGCCCATGCTAAGAGTTCAATAAATTATGGTGAATTAAGAGAGAAAAAAAGGTGGTCCATATGCCAGGAACCCTTCATGGAGTTGTTCTAAAGTACAAAAGTCTCACTTGGATACAGAATCCCACCCAGGGAAGCCACCTACATGAGAATGCACCTTGCCTTTCCTGGTCTGAGAGATTTCATCTGAGAGACACCTATCCCGGCTCCAAACTTCCCTTCCAGTAGAGGCCAGACCGCACATCCAAGCTCCGAGACAGTAACAAGGGCAGTCAGCAGAAGGACTCCAGTTGAACTCCCTGCAACACATCCATATATTCCTGGGCCCCATGCAGCCTCATGCCCACTTAATTCACTGGCTTCCAATTTGGGTCTTAAAACATATTAAAGGGAGATTTTAATAACGAAGCCGAGCTGAGCATCCAGCGGATGTTACTGCGTTCCTTTTGGGCCCAGATATATCTAAGCAGCTCTTTCTGGTAAAGGGACTGAGCTTCCCTTCCTCCCTGAAGCTGGGTGGGGACACAACTCAGACCACAGCGGGATGTTCCGCGCTCTTCCATGGCTCCAGATTGTGGCTGGTGCAGGTCTCCTCATACGTAACCGATGGCTCCTGAGAGCCTGCCTCTCGTAAATTACTTCCCACCCTGCCAGCAACCACCGCAGAATTCAAGTTTGAATAGAGCAGGAAAAAAGGTGTTTGAAAGGCCTGTTCACTCAGCTGCATTTTAATTTCCTTTTCAATCTTGTCCCAATTAATTTCACAGAATTAATCTCACAGAAGCAAACTCGGCAGCATCGAGGCTGCGGTTTTAGTGTGGCGGCCGCTCTGCCTGAACATGAAATAGGAGCTAATATAAAAATCCATCTGCTGTGTTTGAAATACACGCTGGCTGCTGCTCAGTCCTGTCTGACATTCCAAACATCAACAGCGGGGGGAAAGTGATTTGGGGGTTAGTGGCCATCAGTACTTGGCAGGGGTTCAACAACAGGTGTACTCCAAAAATCCATTCAGCCTGGGCACCAGGCATGACAGGGCAGGTGCTGAATCACCCTCCATGCGAAAACGTTGGGCCCTGGCTTAGTTCCCGTATCTGAGGCTCGCAAGGCCCGTGAGTGGACCAGCACCACCATGGTCACCTTATAAGTGGGAGAAAGAAAGGTTAAAAAAAAAAAACCTCTATTTGGATAATACAGGATATAAATCCCAGCTTACAGAGAAGTGACCCTGACTTCCTGCTTCCAAGGTCTCTCACTAGGGAAATTTCTTCTAAATAATAAAGATACTTTCCCATTATTCTTAAATAAACACCCAGTGGAAAAATAAGCCTCTGTTCCAGAAGTAATTTGTGGTAGTAACATGAGCTGTCTAGCAGATAAAGGCAAATTGAAGAGGAAAGGAGAAACTCTTTCTCCATTGACTGGGCACAAGAAGCCCCTGCATTAGTCTAAGGAAAACTGAGTGAGAAGAATGCATCTGTTGGGCTTGAGTTGTGTTCTTCATCAGTTGGTCTTAGGCTCCACGAAGGCCTTGTCCAGTATCTCATTTCCATGGAAACCAGCTTTGAAGCAACAAGTTACTCAAGCTTGATACTTACATGGTGGTTTAGCTGGGTTGGGAAGGTATTCTCATGACCCAAATATGACTTTGAACTGTCTTCAACA